TTGACTATCCCTCTACCAGCTCCATCAATGGAGATACATCTGGATTTGGTTCTGGCTTGTCTGTAGCCAGCGGTTTATCAGACTTAAACAGGACCCCAGTCAAGGAAAAAGAAGCAGTGAGCTCAAAGCTAGAAGCACGAAGGAACATTTTGGAGGACGGAGCTGAGGTTGTCATAGCCACCATCAAAGAGGCCCAGGATGTGACCTCACACATGAAAAAGGCCAACGGGACAAACGGCTCCCACCCTAACCTGACCCTCAAAGGGAATAGTTTGCACAGTGGCAGTGTATCATCGGAGCAGCCTCAGTCACGGTCCCACTCAGCAGTCGGGTTAGGAGGTGTGTCCAGCATGCAAATTGGAGGGGACTCGCCAACATCCTCACAAGCTGACACCACACCCCCACAGCAGCACCGCGAGGCTTGTGGCTGCCGAACCGTTTACGCCAACTGTTTCAGTGGAGAAACTGAGGATAGTATAAGCTTTGACGAGGAGCTAACCGTTTACGAGTTCTCCCGCCGCACACGCCCTAAACCTGCCCGACCCCCAACGGTCTCTCCTCCAACACCACCCTCTCCAAAGCCCAATATTCTGTCGCTGCTGAGGGACAACCCACGCCCGCTCTCTACTTTCTCTACTGCCTCCTCTGAAATCAGTCCCCTAGTTTCACGACCGGTTTCCCCCACAAACTCATTTAGTGGACCTCTTCATACACTTACCAACAAAAACTATGGTGGGCTCAAGGGAGGTTTTGCCTCCTTACGTCAAGATATAGACCAACTCCTTCTAGTCTTAGAGAGGGGAGAACTGGAACAACCCGAACAAACTGTTCTAGACTCAAAGCAGGATATAACAGGCCTAAATGTAGGGCCGGACCTTAATCACAATGGTACTGAAGGCAGAACTACCCCAGTACCGGACCCAAATTGTACTGGGTCAAGCACAGCCGCCATGACAGAGGCCGAGAGGAATCTACTCCAGGCGGAGGCTCGGCGATTGGCATCTGGCTGTCAGCGGGCCACACGTGTTGGCTGGGCTCCTGATGAAGCCCTACGTTCCTTATCTAACAGTTTCAGCGCCCTGGTTCAGTTGTCAGCAGCCTGCCTGCGAACAAACCCTTGCCCTGGTTGTGAGCTCTGCCATAACGCCAGCCTGGGCCACGGGGATGAGGATGATGACAGCCAGGAGGCCATGGACAAGCTGAAAGAGATAGTGGGTCTATATAGAGAGTTTGTTGGGGCTGTTGAGACAGCTGGAACTGGGTCTGGGGTTGGGGGTAAGAGTGGGGGCCACAATGGATCTGGACAGGGTCAGGGGGAGAGTGACGGGGTGAGGCTACTAGCCAAACGCTGCACTGTTCTCATCTCGTCCGTTTTTGCACTCACACAGCTCTTCCGGACACGCACACCAGACACAGCGGACACGCCTGGACACGTACCTCTCAATTTTTGACCTGTGAACTTGTACCCACTAATAACCCACTAACTCTATAGGTGAGCCAAGAGGAAACAGCACAGAGCGATGTGGTGTGTAACCCCTATGTTCTTGTACAGTAAGTGCCATGCACACCACAGCACACAATCTCTAACCTACAATACACAAACTCACATGGACAACACACATCAAACAAAACTGTAAACAAAGAGAGAAAACGTTGTTGCTTGGCCTCTTCTTGGACGCATATGGACTATGCATTTGTACATTATGAATTTTATAATTATCTTATAATTCTCTTATTTTATGATACGATATGTGTATGTATGTAAGGATGGATTACCCATGTATGTATTTATGTATTTATTTTTACAATATTTGCACCATGGTCTGTGATGTTCAGGTCTCCGGTGGAAAAAGAAACTATGGATGTCACTGGAATTTTGAATTGTCCTTCTCTTTGAGACAGTATTATGTTATCTTTTGCTGCTTTAAAGGTTTCTCCACTCCACAAGGTGTAATCTGTAAATTGTCATTTTTCAAGTTTAGTATAGCAGTACGTTTTACTGACAAACAAAACATATATACTTATCACACTTGCAAAATACAGGTATTAACTGATTTGTTTTGTATGTGCACCTTTTTAACAATTTAGTTTTTCAAAACTACAGTTACATATGAATGGGATACAAAACTATACCATTACAAAGCAGGGAGAGCACTTTTGACTGTTACAGATTGCACCTTTTTATGAGACACATACCCTTGTGTAAAGTGTTTTTTCTACCCTTTCCCTGGCCCTGGCTGACTCTGAGTGAATGGATCTTGGACATACTCCCATTACCCCAACATATGCAGTAATATAACATTAATCTAGTTTTCATCCAAAGGACATGACATATATATTTTCTGGGAATGTGTGGATGAGCCTAGGAAGCAAAACAGGGGACCTTATTTATGTAGTTGAAAAAAAGTTTTCACTAGGCACAAGGGTGACTGTTAAACTATGTCCAGATGTAGCAAAGATCCAAAGTCTTAAAACAGTGAGCCACTACTGTTCCCCACTACGGTTTCCTCTATGGGTGCACCACCACACTAATAACATGCTGACTGACAGATGCTGTATGCTGGGGTCAGAACTGTAGATATACATGTATATCTCTGTGTCCTATTCCGTCTCTACCTTAGTTTATGGCTATGCAAACATAAACCCCCCCACCCCCCACATACTGCATCCTTGTTTCTTTGTGCTAACTTAAAAACAACAATAGCTGCATTATGTTTGTCTGAATATAATGGATGCATTTTATGTTTGCAATGTTGGCTTTGTCGTGTTTCAGGAAATCCTACTGCATTATGGATTGCAACATGGTGCAAAGTTGCATGGAATTAGCATTTGTTAATATAAAGACTCCTGTCTATACTGATGTCTGTGAATTGTCAGTAAATGGATTACATTGCTCGATCAGTTTGCTGATGTACAGTGTCCACTAAAATGTCACATGATGCCAACTCATTAGATGATTTGTCCAATTTATTGGAGCCAACTAAGACAACAAGAGGGTTCTTAAGCAGTTGCTTATACAAATATGATAAGGGGATTAGCCAAATAAAAGACTGCGTAAATGTTCAGAGACAGCTGGTGAGGAGATAGTCGGTATATTTAATATCCAAATAGGTGACTGAGAGACTTTTTGTAAACGTGGCTATGCTTGAAAATAAGAAGGCAGGTCTTTTGTGTGAGATGTCAGCGCTTCCACTCGCCACAGAGGTTCAGCACCAGTGTCCATCACAGCACTAATATCAAAAGCATCTGTAGTTGTCCATCAAGCAGGCCCGAACAGTAAAGAGTGCCTGTGTCACCTACTTGTTTTGTTTCTGTATGGTAAAACTGTCTAACGCGTTTCATTTTAAAAGAGGACATTGTGTTTCTACATGAGCAGTCACTTTTCCGTACCCACGTACAATAAAGTCTATGTACCAAGAAATGTATTGTTTGGGAATAAATTACACATTGACTTTAATGAAGTTAAATGTCTGGGTTTTTGTCTATACAACAGTTATCAACTCATGTCATGTTACAACTTTCAGTTCTTCAAAGCTCCCTCCCTAAATATTAAACTTGAAATCAGGTCATAAGACATCCAATTCACCACCCTGGAAAAACACCTCTCGGTCTAAACAGCCGTTGTATTTATACCATCACTGGACTACTAATACTGCTAATGAGGATTACTGACGGATTTCTTTTCAACCATTGAGTTATACTTCCGAGAAAGGCAGTGTTTTTCAATGTATGGGGGCGCCTAGGCCTACTTTCTCTCTTTTGGTACTGGGAATGTCTCTTAAATTATTCAGAGCTAGAGTGCAACATTTTCACTTCTATTTTTAAAATACTTTCTTAAATATGAATGAATTTTGAGTGGAAAACGGTAAGATTTCATTTAAGATCATAGTCTGACAGACATTTGTTAAAAGGAAAGGCAACATCCAAAGAGCTGAGCGGTTTTCTAACAGCTCAACCCTCTCTGATCCAAAGTCCCCATGTCAGATTGCCCTTAATCTGATCACTATCCGCAGTCTGATTTCTTGACACAGTAATCTAGAAAAGTCGCATGTAAAAAAGAAAACACGGTCTGGAAGTGTAGACCTGCTGTGAGAGCTATTTCTATAGTCAAGAAAGTGACAGAAATGACAGATAGGGGTGTTGAACTAAAGAGTGTACTGGAGTGTTTGCCTCATCCTTCATTTTGATCCAGTGTCAGGTCTGTTCAGCTTGACTACCAAACTCTATTGTACCGGTAATGCCGTTTGTATGATTGATTATGAAGAAGGGATTTAGTACACACGGTATGAGTCACTTTGAGGATGGCACAGTGCACATAAAGCACAAAGAAGCCGTTCAGTGTCAAAAGGTGCCTCTATTACACGAGTAAACCATATGATTTTTAGCATATTCTCTTGAGAAAACATGTCATGTATCTCAGTACACACCCACATAACAGACGTGTTCACTGTCAACATGTTTAATAGATTGTTTAAACATTTCATTTGGTTGCAATTAGTCATTTGATGTTTTCATAGTGATTTGGTGACTCGTGCTACAGAAAAGTTAGTAATTATAAACAGCGTTATTTAACATTAATGAAGGTGTCCCACTATCAGAAGATAATTCAATACTATTGGAGAGAAAGCCTTGGAAAATCCCGGAAAGATGCTCAGGTAACAGCACACTGTGGACAGTTCAGAATGAAAAGGATTGGAGAAATAGGCCAAGTGATCCATTTACATGGCAGCTTGAGCTTTTTGTGCCACTGAACATGACCCTCTGCCTCAGTCTTCTCTCAGCACCATTACTCAGTTCAGTCTCTCTCTCACTCAATGTCCAGGCAGCATGCCTTTCCTCTTCGGGCTGTCGTACCCAGCGAGAGCTGCGGCATGGTGACAGCGTCTACTCAAGCTTGAAATCTGAGCCCATTATGTCAACAGATGTTACAGACAGAGAGGAGAGCAAGCGTGAGAGAAGAAAGATTTAAAAAGAGGGGAAAGAGGGAGGTTACATGTATAAAAAGGTGATATTTGAAGTTTATTAAACTGGAAAAAAACATTTAGGAGCACTACTTTCAAAAATCAATGAACAAAATAAATGCCCACACATTTCAAAAGGTATTCTTCTGGAACTGCAAAGGTTTTGTAAAATTAAAATAAAAACAAAAATGTTCTGTGGTGTAAAGATTGAACACATTTTTCCTTTGTAATTATACAAACAAGACAAGATCTGGGTGTAACTGTGTTTTACTGACATCAACGGGCACTTCTCAAAACTCAAACAACACATGCCAGGAGCACTTTATGAATCAAACAAAGACTAATTGTGCCTGAAAGAACATTACATTTTGAATCGGCAAACAAAACTAAAATCATGTGTAAAAGGAGGAACTGTTTAAAAAAGCCTGACAGTATTTCCAAGAACATACATCACTCACACTTATTTCAACAATTTCTGAAATGATAGATTTTTGATCATATCCTAATTATATAGGCTGAATAGTTTGATGGAGCACAAATAGAAATAATACAGCCAACTCTATATGTTATTACACTCTTCTTGCCAGAACATCTTGGGGTATTTCCATTGTCAAAAGTACAAAAGTGATTGAGTTAAGGGGCAGAAAGCAGCCCGACAGAGGAAATACTCTTGGTCAAACAAACAGACGCATGTTGTCCACAAAGCAGCACAGCACATACGACGAAACAGTTAATCTATTGAACTAACTTTTGCTTGAAACTGTGGGAAAAAAGCGCTAAAATGTTGTTTGCTCAACAACATGTTTGAACAGAGAGCAAACAAGGGCATTTTAATTGGACCCTGGCACAAGTTTGTATAGGCTAAAGCTCGTGTCTTGTTTTAAATACTGACAACAGTAAATAGTCATGGCATGTGGCAGGTGGGTTATCTTACACTGACTGTTGGCCCCTGTTAGAAGTGCAACTATGTTGCAGTCTTTCAGTCTGTGTGCCCCCAAAAAATGTGCCAGACCGCAAGTACATCGGCTTTACTTGACGGTTTCCTTTCTTCTCAACAAATGACTCTCAAACTTTACACAGGATTTTCCCTTTAAATGCTTTCTCTGGCTCTCTATATCTCTATTATGACAGCTCCTTCAGCAGCAGCTCATAGGTGGCATTAATGATCCCCCAGGAGAGCAGTGAACGGTGGTAGTTGAGAGTGGCCCCTCTGAAGAGCATGGCAACACTGCCGCCCCTTTCTCTCCACACTGTTAGCAGCACCTGCCTGCAAGGCTGGAAGGCTCCACCCACCTGAGACTGGGCCCGGGACTTGACCACATTTAAGGGATAGAACATAATGCCAAGGGCTGCCCCCAACAACCCTCCACATACAAAATCACTTGCCATGTGACCTGCCCGGCTATTGACTTCTGGGAGCTGCTCCTTGATGGGCCCACGGAGCCCGAAGAAGAGCACATTGCTGGGGCCGTTACGAATAAGTATAGGCACCAGGCCACGGTAGCACTCTCTGACACCATGCTCAGTCACTAGTGTACGGAAGGTGTGGACTGTGTTTTTGAAGCGCCCGTGGTGACGATGGTCTTGTAAAAGAGTCTGCACACGCTCAAACGGCGTCAGGACGGCCTCTGCGGTTCCTGCCAACGCTGCAGCAAAGCTCCGGGTTGCCAGCTCCGGTATACCGCTGCCAGCGGCCCGGTCTAGTAAGACTCTAGAGAAGTCCTCGTACAGGCCAAACATGATGGCCACTGTAGTGCTCTTCTGGAGCAGCGGGGGCAGCAGACCCCGATACAGATTCCTCAGCCCATCCCTCTGCAGCTGCTGCACCGCCTCAGTGGCCAACACACCGTGTAACTGTTGGCGGAACAGCACCTTCTGGATGGGGAAAGTCACCACGATGTTGGTAAAAGCTGCAACCGAGCCGCAAAAATAGTGTTTCCCTTGGGTGCCCAGCCTGGCACCCAGAGCTTGAGCGGACAGCAGGGAGTAGCCCCCTTTTGTCAGGGCGGGCGCAGGCTGAGGGGTCCTGGACGACTCCGAGTCCATGGTGCTGACAGCCATGGGAGGCTCAGAGCTCCACAGCCTGGTCCTCCATCTTCACATCAGCAACACACTCTTCTGTAAAATATACACCCTGTGAAAGAGGAAAAATATCAGATATTCATATTAATATAAAATACACTCCTGATTATTATTCATTTGATAGTGTGACAGTTAAGGGATCCCCATACACATAATTCACACAATATATTTCCTTCCATATTTTATTATCACATGGCCAAAATCACTGGAAAATTCCAACAAAAAAAGCGATTGATTAAATATCAAATAAACACACAACTGCAATCTCGTAAATATGAAAATAGCTCCATTTAGATATCTTCCAACAACATGTATAGTGATACAATATATTTGTGAAGATTCTCTCTCTAATATGATATATACTGTTGGGTTGTACATTAAATGGCCTGTACAAGCTACATGTTGCCTCAAAACTGTTTAACACCTTCAGCCATCTGCTTTCCACTTCTAAAGCCATGTATTTGCCCTACCTGGCAACTGATAAGAGTATTAACACGTTTACAATAGTTAGGGATTGATAAGCTTTGTAGGACGACAGTATAGAACTATAGGCAGCAGAAACACTAGGTTTAACATACTACATTACAAAGCACCATATATTCAACCTTAACATTTAAAGTATTTAAGAGGCTAGTGGCCCACCCTGCCATATGCAATAGAAACAACAAATCTTCTCAAATGAAAGCAACCTCCTATCTACATTTAAAATAAAAGTATAAATACATTCAGTGCTTAAAGAAAGTTGTGTGGGAGTTGTCTAATTATAGACCAAGGAGGCCATATAGACCATATAGTAGTGGCAAAAGCTTTGAGGTCACGAGAGGTCATAGCATGTTAACCAAAATATCTCTCCAGAAATCCTTACACACATTTGCAGTCAGTATGACAAACCTGCCACATGGCAACTGACCCGTGAGAACCAGTTTTGTAATGTCCCCAGGTTTAAAGTATGAGACATTTGTTCAAAACATGGAAGCTTTGAAGTGTCATTTCAGCACACCAGCAACCACATGAAGGTGTTTCACCACTAACCAGTAAATTATACATATAATATGATAAGTATAACAGCCAACACTATTCATTCAGAGTTTATATAATTTCGGATAGTGGAGTTATGTTATGTTTCTGAGATTATATTTTCCTGTGTCACGTTTGAAAGGCAGCAAGCAAATATTAGTCAACACATTTTAAAATGTAAAAGTCAACCAGGTTATAATAATAATTTAACCTAATCAACAGATTTGAGCAGATGACAGTTTCCCATTCACGTAATCTGTTGTTCTTCCATTACTGCATCTTACGCCCTCTCCTTGTTTTTGATACTTCCTGTATATTAGCTTGCCGTGACATGCCTGTTTTCCTAGCATGATCTCTGACAGTCACATAGACTATATAGATAGATATAACTCACACATACATTAAAGCCTAATATCATCAAATGTTTAAATTACAGTAAGGGTACGAAACAATATTAGTTACTGTTAAAATCCACAAATCAAAGGGCTAGCATGCTTAGCTCAAAAGCTAACTCACACACCCTAGGCTGCTCAGCCAACATGGCTAATAGACAGTTAGCTTGACGGTGTTAATGACAGGGTCTACTCGGCTGTGTAGGGAATACACTATCACATTTGGGATTAAGTTAGAAAGATGACACGACAACAGAGTCAGATATAAAGGTTGTATGCTAACACAAAATATATGTCAGCCTAGCATGCTAAGTGACTAGCATTACAGAGTCAACACGGACAAACGCTACGTGTTGATGATTGGTTGGGACTTCTTTGACAGCGACTGGGTAGAAACAAGCATTTCTAGTTTTGATCGGGCTCATAAATAAGTATTTACCTGGAGGGCAGTTTTCTGCAGGGTACTTGGGTCACAACAGCTGTAGGTCGTGTCTGTCTGGGCTGCAGCAGCAGGTGACCGCGAAGACGCGCATGCGCAGTTATGCAGATCTGAAGTTATCTGCACACGTAAAAAAGAAATACCATATTCAATTAAACAACATTTATTTAGGCATATATTACTCCTCTGTGAGTTTCCAACACCTTATCCTCATTTTTTTCTTAGTAACCCTTCAAAATATTTTCCTTTCTAGCTACTCTCAGCCAATGATGATGTGTTCAATACATGTTCAGTATTTTCACCTAAATAACAATGCGAATCCGGAAAAAAAAGATTGAAAAGAAGGTAAACGGGTAGCTTCGTTTTAAATATGTTTCTTTCTCAAAACTGTAAACATAAAAGCGACTACAATTGTTTTTTTCCCGTCTGTTTCGCTCTTTACACCTTTTAAGTGGCCAAAGGACCTTTGGAGCGAGGCGGAACTCTCGGAAGTGATTTCAAAACAAAAGCCCTCGTCTGGTAAAAAACACTTAATCTCTCGCTCTCCCTCTCAGAGACTGTATTGATAAAACTAGTATTATAGAGGGCGGGATGACTTTCACAGTTCGGTAAAGTTAGAAAGATAATGACGGATTCAAACTCGATGGATCAATAATTAACCCTTTATCTATCGTTAAGTGTCTTTTAGCTAGAGGGCCTTTGTTTTGAAATTACTTCCGAGAGTCCCGCACCGCCCCTCTCTCCAAAGACCCCTGTGGCCCCGAAGTAAAGAGCAAAACCAAAAAAAGTCGCCTTTCTGTTTACTGGTTTAAGAAAGAAGAACAAATAAGAGGAAGATACACGGATTGAGTGGACTTGAAGTATGAGCAGTTGACAGTGTTGTTTGAAATAAGGTTGCAAACGGTTCAAACGGTCAGAATTGACTCGCGTCGTTTTTTTCGTAAAGCAGGATGTAGCGACAGTTTTACGACTGTGTCGCGACGTCATTATTGTAACGTTAAGAGATCTGCTGGTAAATAAAGGATTAGGTTTGCCTGGTAAATTTAAAAACGGCCTATAATTGCTCTCTTTTCTCTTCATATTCATGGTTGTTACATTTCTATGAGATATTCCATAACATTAGCACGATCTGGTAAACAGTTGGAGCAAAGATGACAGCTGCAAGTCAGCTAGCTTCGTGTTGCTAACTATATAATATAGCTGTATTTAGACAGTTCTGTTTAGCGTAACGTTGGCTAACTGTTACATACTGCAACCGAAATATATCCACCGAGACGTGTCCGTATGTAGGACAACCGCCTACATTAGCTAGCAGTGTGTCTCCTTCGGTATACAAAACTAGCTGCATGTAAAAATGTCAGCTCAAAAAGACTGCGAGTTTTTGGTGAAGAGAGCCCGGGATCTGGTCTCTGATGATCCCTGTGCGGCCAAAGCCTGGCTCATCACTGCCAGGACCCTGTACCCTGCAGATTTCAACATACAGGTAACATTAGGCTGCTTATTGTCTAACCACTGCATGCATTTCGTACGTGTTTGGATCCTCTGTTGTGTTTCCAATGTTAAATTGTGTTTGACATGTTTTCACAGTATGAAATGTACATCATCGAGCGCAATGCCGAGAGGACAGCCTCTGCAGGGAGACTGCTCTATGACATGTGAGTTACAGTGTACTAGCTCTGTACAAGTGTTCATGTCCAATGTCCTTGGCTGAGTCTGAGCTAACAGTTACACATTTCCCCCCCAATCTTTAGGTTTATAAACTTCCCAGATCAGCCCATTGTTTGGAGAGAAATCAGTGTCATCACAGCTGCACTGCGCAGTGACTCCCAGGACAAACATGCCCTGTTTCTACGAGGTGAGAGACGTTTGATTCACTGTCAGGAGAGTGATAATTAAGTGTGGGAAACATTGATGGTTTTGGAAATCTGAACTATCTTTTGACACGTGTATATTTGTCTTCCCCAGGGCTTTTTGAGACGCTGCCTGGCCGTGTGCAGTGTGAGATGCTACTGAAAGCCACAGAGCAGTGTTTCAACACTTTGGAGAAGGCAGAGATGCTGCTCCTTCTTCTTAAGCGCTTTCCAGAGTCTGTGGTCCAGCACGGGGTATGTAATAAACGCATACCTTCTGTGTGTTGACAGTTTAACACTAAAACAGTCGGTGCTAAGTACATTCTGCTGTGATTTTAGGTCAGTCTAGGAGAAACCTTGTTAGAGGCGGAGGCATCAGAGAATGTGGAGACTCCCGTCAACTGCTTCAGGAAACTTTTTGGTGATTGAAACACTCACATTAAAACATGCTTTTTTATCCAAATCAATATTCTGTACATGCAATAACTTCCTATCGAATTTGTTGTTATTACTACAGTGTGCGATGTCCTTCCTTTGGTTATGAACAACATGGACATGCGGTTGCCAGCCAGCTTGATGCAGAAGTACATGCTAAAAGCAGCTGAATTTTACATCGGCTACGTGACCCGTGGACCCGCAGCTGATGTACAGATACAAGGTGAAGCTGCAAGTGGTTGATGTTGCTCTTTCCTTTTCCTTATCTCAGTGTGATACATCAAAGATTTCTTGTCCTCTATATTGTTTCTCTCTACTGCCGGCCTGATGTTTTTTTCTGCTCCTTGTGTTCTTTGTTTCAGGCTCTCAAGATGGTGGGTCTCTGAAGTCCCCCACTGTGTCCCGTGGCTCCCAGCGTTATGTGATAGACGGCCTGTCAGAAAAGTCGTCAGTGGTGGCAGAACCTTGGGAGAGGCTGTTGGATATTGTCGCTGTCGTTGGAGCACGCTGCGAGTGGCAGGGAGACAAGGGACAGAGGTAGTGTATCTGTCTGCATGTCAATCAGCCATTACTGTGTTTCATGGTTGTTTTGTATTCAGGTTGCTCTTTTGATAAACAACAAGTTATTAGTTACACCTAGCTTAAATGAATGCATTCTTTAACAACAGCTCTGCAATACATCTTACATTCATGGCCATAATATTCTGTTATTCAAAGTATCTTAGATCATTTAGATTTGTGGTCATTTTGAAGGCTGTGGTTTGAGCCTGGTGATGCTTTTAAATTTGACTTTATACTGAGAGGTGTTTCTAATATTAAGTCTACTGTAACTGATCTAAATGGATGTATTGCTGTCATCATGTAAGAAATGGAGAGGCCCACAGTTGTCAGAATAGATCTGAATAAAATGTAGTAACAAATCATTGCATATGTTTTGAACACACTCAAAAAAGAGTCAATTACACAGATCTTGATGTACACAAATGGTTTTATTTTAGAGAAGTGTTGAGTCATGGTCATTTTGAAGGCTGTGGTATTTCACTGTGTTATACTGAGAGCTGTTTATTATATTTATTCTACCAGTACTCATATAAATGGATGTATTGCTGTCATATAAGAGATGGTGCTGATGTACTCAAATGGTTTTAATTATTATTTGTTTGTGTACATTTATTCTAGGAGTTATGTGGACATGCTGCTGAGAGTGAAGGAGCTGTGTCGCTACCTGCCCAGTCTGGAAGGAGACACGAGGTCCCGATGCTGCAGTCAAGTGGTGATCTGTGCTGCTCTCGTCCTCTTCCGCAGCGCCTTCATCTATCTCTCCTCTGTACAGCCTGCACTGTTCCAGGGTCAGCCTCTCTCTTTGTTTGTTTATTTCACTCTCTCAGGAAATGCATCACTATTGTCTTATCAATGAAAGTTCTAAGGATCAAAATGATGGGTCTATCTCTGGCAGGTTTGAATGCGCTGAGCTCGGGGCCGTGGATCCTTGTAGAGGATTTCAGCTCGGTGTATAACGATCTGGAGTCAGAAAGAGGAGCTGGCAAACATGCACATAAGAAACGCAAATTGGCAGATGGGAGAGAGAAGACGATGGTGAGTACAGATCAGAAATAATGTAATCGTTTCAAGACCAGAAATACTGTTAATGTAATGTAATGTCGTATGTGACTATAGTGTGGCTGTTGTTCCTGCCTTTTTTTACTAGTTAATGTTGGACCACGTCTGTGTTTGTTTTTCATTTCAGAGCTCAGATGATGAGGAGGGGTTGGGAAAAGGTCGCGGTCGACACATTCTGGTAAACAAGACTGAGATGCCCAGCTGGTCAGAGACTCTTGAGAGTTTCCGCACAGCGAGGGAGAGCTGGGACCTTCTTCACTCCCACGACGGCCTGGAAACTGGTAAACACCTCCTCTGTTCATATGTGTTGTTGTTTCACCCACACAGACAATCAGTTCAGTTCGATCAGTTGGACACAATATCATGAATTAAAAAAACACAATTACTGCAGATGAAAACTTTTTGCTTGTTTATTTCATCGACCTGCACCATATGGTGTCAATAACCCGGATGGTTACATGATCAAACATAACAGACAGTTACACCATTTCAAAAGGAGAACATTTCATAAACAAAGTCTTGATTTTTTGTTTTTGTAACCAGAGTTCAAGAAGATCTGTGCCTCTTGGAAAACAGACAGCTGGCTGTGGTTCAGAATATTCCTCACCGACACGATCATATACCAGGCAAGAAACGGTTATGATGTATTTGCTTTCTGTTTGTGACATGACCCTTCCTGCCCTTTTGTCTGTTGTTTATATACCGTTTTTTACAATAAAGTATTTTATCAGTTTTTAATTTACTACATTTAACTTGATTTATTTGTGATAAATATTTGGAGGAGCAGCAATAAACAGTATCTATCAATACATACTGTATACCTTATTATATACAATATTTTGAAGAATGAGGCGAAAAGAGGTTATAAAACATACTGTAACACAACTGATAACGGCCAGTGACTTAAAACAGTATGTCTAAATATTAAAATGATAGCTTTTCATGTGTCTCTATGAATCGTCGTGACCCTATGATGATCATATCTGTGTGTGTGTCTCCAGGGACAGTACCGTAAAGCCCTCTCCAGTCTGCACCAGATGGCCGCAGTGCAGCAGCCTCAGCCAGGGCAGCAGAGCCCTTCAGGGCAGGGCAGTCTGGAGCACCACAGGGCTCTGATTCAGCAGGCGTCCTGCCACTACGCACTGGGAGAATACAGGGTACACACACACAAACAATTACAATATTGTATTGAGCAGTCTTTGTTGTACCTTTTGCATCATATGAAATGCATTTACAGTATGTTGTAGATTATTTTATTTTTAATATATTCTTAACATATGTTTAGAGCTATACAAAAAACATAACGCTTTAATAATCTTAACACCTATTGGCCTGCAGGTGGCGTTATACTAAAGGTCAATTGAAGAGGCTCACAGTTGCAGCAGAGCAGAGTTCAACTGTCAGATACTTTGAGATACACATGCATATATACTTTTCCATTCTGACTAACTGATATGTGATAATTTTGCCCCAAGGCTTCTACATTTGTCTCGCATGACTTTTACATGTACATTTTAAAGCTGCAAAGCTTCATTTTCAGCTGAATATGCTCACCAATAATAATTAATAAACGATTTTGCCCTTGCAAAAAGTTACATAACACAAAAACATGTCATTACAACAGGATTTTGAGGACAAATGACCTAATAAATGCAGGCAATGTATGCATTATTTAACATTAAACCCCTGCCGTGTTTAGACATGTGATGCATGTACTGTACTGTATGTGTGAATCAGCTGGCCTGTGAGAAGCTGCTTGATGTAGTTTGCGGGCTGACGCCCCCGACCCAAGAACCCACAAAGAGCCCAGAGGACTGGAGTCGAGGCAAAACCAAAACAAGAAAAGGTAAATACCTCTTGCTTTTAGTAGAGCATGTCTCAGTTAATGATTTTAACGTTTGAATGGCTTTTTGACCCTTTGTAATAAGCAAAAAAGGTGCTATTGTGTCTGCCTGTATGTTGTGACATATAGTTTTAACATGTAACTTAATATTAATACTATAAGGAAGTTATCATCGCTGCAACTTACATATTGATTTGACAAAACAGACTGTTAAAAATGTCACTTGATACTGAACTCACAGGAATAACAATATTTGTCATGTGATACAGAAATATGTTGCTATGATACATCAGAACATTGTGAGTGACTGACTTATTTTTGCGATGTCTAGGTAATGACCTGAGATTGCTTCCCTGCACCGGCAAGGCTGTGTTACCTTTCTGTTTCCAGCTGATGTTTGCCTGCTTTAAGGTATTTATCAAATAATTAAAATAATTAATGAAATGTATTTTGGTCCCCATTGTTTTTGATGGTTTCACTGGGACTGTTTGTGGCGATGTATTTCTAGACTATTAAGGCATTAAATCTTGTACAACCCATTTTCTCTTGTTTTTTATGTTGTGTATTTAGCTGCGTACCTTCACAGACAGTCGTGACGACCTGTCGCTCGGCCATGTGGTGGTGCTCCTGCAGCACGACTGGCCACAGGGAGAGATGCTGTTTTTAAAGGCAGTGGATAAGATCTGTCAGCAAGGCAGTTTCCAGTATGAGAATTTCTTCAACTACGTCACCAGTATCCTTTTTACTTGTAACTGCTCACCCAAGCCTCAGCCTGATATGAATGGATTCGCTTATAAAGACCAATTACTTTGTTTTTGTTCCCTTGTCTTGAATTGTAATTTCCATGAGCTCATGATTTCTGTCAGACATTGACATGCTGGAGGAGTTTGCTTACCTGCGTACTCCAGAAGGGGGGAGGATCCAACTCGAGCTGCTGCCCAATCAGGGAATGCTGATCAAGTAAGCACTTCTCTTTTTTTAAACGTGTCAGTTTGCATCGTGACTCTGCACACTCCCGTTCTGTTGCTGTTTAAAAGTGATATTGATTAATAATCTTGGTAGACATTGCCTGTGGGGAAAAATGTGCTTTGAACTGAAAATGCTTTAAATGGAGCGGACATTAGAAAGAGAAGGGGTTTATGATTTAAATAACCTTCTATCTAACTCCTTCATTCATTGCTGTAGAAGTTAAGACTCTTGAATGCACCCTCACTGACTAAGAGTTGTTGAATGTTGCTGTCCCTTAGGAACCCTAGTCCCGCCTTGGGGGTGGAGTTAAATACCCTCCTGCTACAAGGGGTGCAGACGATGGAAAGGTACCCCAGGCCCCATCCCCCCCCCACACCAGTCACCCTTCCTTCATTCCCAACTTCAAGGCTTGTCATCCCACAGTTTTGATTTGGGCCTGTCATTTTACATCAAGAGTTTGATTTCCTGTCCGCGTTTCTTTTATTTGAGCCATTGCTCGTCTTTCTGTGGTCATCGTTGTTGTTTTTGTTGTTTTTGTTGTTTTTGTTGTTGTTATTTGAGAATGATGTTGGTCTTGTTGTGAAATCAATTTAGTTTTTTTACCTTTTCATAACACTTGATCTCATTTCATTTGTGAACCTGTTTTATATGTTGTTTCTTTATGATGATGAATTTGTTGTGTAATCTTGATTGGCTGTATGATGTTTGTATGAAAAGGTTTTTTCATGATTTTGTCTTTACGGCATAGATCTCGGCCTCAAATCATCTCATAATAGTACATCTCTTGACCATATGTATGTTTGTGATTATTGTTTTACCCTTTTTTCTGCAGACACCACACAGTGACTCGTGGAATCACCAAAGGAGTGAAGGAAGATTTCCGTCTGGCTATGGAGAGGCAGGTGTCGCGATGTGGAGAAAACCTGTTCAGTGTGCTTCATCGTTTCTGCATCAATGAGAAAATCATGATCATTCAGTCTCTTCCTTGAAACCTCGCCTGTGACTTTTCTCACCTTTTCATACTTTTGATCCCAGGACCAGTGTTAATGCAGCTGGACTGATTTTCTGTCCCTCTTTTCATTATCGTCCATCACTGAACTGAATAAGGCCTCCTTGCCTTAAAAATGGATCTCTCTTTTCAGAGAGTTGGAGATAATGTTGTTTTTCTGAATATACATCGCTCATGCAGATTTAGTAAGACTGTAGTTGTTTCTCAACATGTGCTCAACCACATTCGAAATTGGTTAAATCCTATTGTAACATTTTGTGGGAGTTGAAATTGACAAAAGAATGAAGTTCATTTTTGATATTCTTGTGTAAAGTTTATTGTTTTTGTTACAAACTTGAAGTGTTAGTTTATATAAACATTTTCATTAAATGTCCACTAAAGCAGTTGCCTTTATGATTTATTCAATGCAAGCTTACAAGATGTTAGTTTATCTTTAGTCTATTGTACAAGGTTAAAAATGAGAACCTCTGGAAAATAATGCTAATGCAGAAAAGAAAGAAGAATAGGAAGTATACACACTCCAGAGTGCCCACATTTGTTTTAATCTTACTATGTTCCCTTTATTCAATTGTCCCGTATGTCCCATTTGAACTTCCTCTTACCACTTCCTTTTACTCTTCCTCATGAGTCACTGGTGCATTTGGCAGGTCTGCCTGTAGGGCAGCTCTGAGATTAGCCCAGAACAGCCTGTGCTTGGCCCTCTCCTGGGGCCACTCCAGGTATGTGTGCCGGCCCATCATGGACTTCAGCTGGTTGTACTTGGATGGTATCAGGTATTGAGGTAGAGGCTCCAGCAGCACCAGCACAACGCTATCCGGTCCCCAAGCAAGGCGTTGGTGGCTGGCAAAGTACAGCTCATAGTGGCACCACTCACTTTTGACGAAGTTAGCAGAGAGCACAAAAACGGAGCGTCGGCTTTTCTCCAAACATGCGATGATGTTCTCAATAATTGTCTTTCCGGGTACAAAGGATTTTTCATGATGGCAGATCTGGAGACCACCTGCTGGGCCTTCAAGGTTGGGGAGAAGGGAGTTCTGAACCCAGTCTGCGTCGTGCTGGCTGTAAGACACAAAAGCATGAAACTCAACACCCAACAGATCTTCAGGGCGAACCTGACGCATTCTGGCACGATGTTTGGCTCTGGTCCACTGCCAGATCATACCCATATACCAGGGAACATCCAAATGATGGCACAGGGTCACAATTGCAATCATCACAATAACTGCTGGGCCCAAGATGGCTGCAGCTAGAAGGCCCACATTACAGGAGACTTCTGGGATTGAGATGTCTTTCAAGGAGAAGCCTCTAACGGCCTCTGGGTAGGTGCAGTAATATCCTTTAGGCCAGCTCAACAATTGAATTCCTGTGTGACTTCTCCTTTTAGACTTGATGCCAAGACTTATGAAACTTCTCAGTGCGCAGGTGCAGGTGAAGGGGTTGTGACCGACGTCCAGGGTTTTCAGTTCGGGGCAGCTTTCCAGCTTGTTCACAGATGGTGCATGGAGGGAATTAGACTTGAGCAGAAGCTCACTCAGTAGGGGGAATCCCGTGCATACTGGCAGGTCCCGCAGCCTATTTGAATTTAGATTCAGAGATGAAAGGTTTCCCAGTTTCAAGATGGATGATGGTATCACAGAAACCTGGTTGTTTTGAAGGTCCAGGTTCTCTGTTGCTTTTGGTAGACATTTAAAAACGGAACCGGTCAGACCATTGGAAGACAGAGTCATATTTGTGATGTTGGGTGGCCAGAAGCATTCTAGGAGGCCGTCATAAACCAAAGAGTTGAGGCTGAGGTCCAGATGTTGCAAAGACTTCATATATTGCACACGTTTGCTGAGCATCTGAAGGCTCCTGAGATTGTTGCCAACCAGATTCAACTTCCTCACGTTATCCAGTTTCTCACATTCAAGAATTTCTTCACCCTCCACTCTGGAGAAGATGGAGTTGGATAGAGCACAATTGGAGAAGTCCAACTGGCGGATAGGACTGTGCGACTTTGGGCACGTCATGTGTATGATTGGCATCTCAACCATTGCTAAACTCTCCACCGGCATGTTGATAAAGAAGTTGTACACAGCCTCCTGAGAAAAGAAGAAGCCTTTCACCACTGCCTCTCTGGCTGTAAAGGACTTCATCTTTGACGTCTGGGTTACATTTGTCTCTTCAGAAGGCATTTTGTACATGGTCACATCAGAGATCCTCAAGTGGGTAATAGATGTATGCAGAAGGATATTCACACTGTCAGTGAAGTCTTCCCAGCTGATATATATGTTGGTGAGATACAGGTGAGATGTGAGGGTTTCTACTCTCTTGATCAGCTGCTCACTCAGGTCTTTCATGCCACTTCTCAAATTCATCAACTCCACTTCAGCGAAGAGTGACAGAGCATCAGCAACCAGATCATGGTCTAATATTCGAGAACCAGTGAGGGCTATCTGAAGCCTTTGAGCCTGAACATCGATCAGACTGCCTGCTGTATAACTCCAGGGTTTATTCTCCAGGGATAGAGTGAGTGTACGCAGTTTCACTTTAGCAATATTCTTGAAATCACCCATACTGATGTTTTGGGGTCCAAGTGCCAATGTCTCCAGTTTGACCAATGAACTGAACTCACTCCCAAGGGTCATTGTAAGAAACTTGTTGAAGGCCAGATTGAGTGCCAGAAGGTTCTCTGTGTGGAGCAGGTACTGCTGGCCCGACAGGTTCCTCAGCCCGTTGTGTGACAGGTCCAGATCCTTCAGGAGTGGCGTGTCGAGGAACGTCTCTTCATCGATGTCCTTCAAACTATTCCAGGAAACGTTGAGGAATCTGAGGAGAGGGGTGTTTTTGAAGTCTCCTCCGTGAAGTAGCTGTATGTGGTTGCATGAGAGGTCTATAGACTCAGCTTTCCGTGGCAGGTCTCTTGGGACAGAGGAGAGGTTTTTGGATGAGAGGTCTACGCTGCTGTCAGGGAATGAAGAACTCCCCTGGAGTCCCATCAACATGGCTGCCGCCCAGAGAGCAGCAGTCACAGGTGTCATTGTTTGTCTGGATGAAAGAAAGGGGAAACAAAGTAAGTAGGACACTTTGTTGACAATTGATTAGGTACACCTGTCTAATAAAAAAGTTCTGCTATAAAAATGATGACGGTGATTTTGTTGTTGAAACAGCTCAAGAAAAAGTTGATTAATCTTCATAATCCTTGTATAGAAAGTTGTTTTCTATTGCTGTTAAACTGTATTGCAATATACAGGTAGGATTTGTTTTATTTGGCCTATCCTCATAGATATGAATGGGGTGAACTAAATAATAGGAACAAATAGTAAAGGAATAAATAGTGGATGTCATTCTGTAACTTTCATGAGGATGTAATTTAACTGCATTTGACATCAAAATGGGAAGTAGTTGTTTGAAAATATATTACCTTCAATCATGCACAACACATTTAAATACAAATAGCAATTTCTTTAAATCTCTAGTCATCATTTAAATACTGAATTGAACAAATCCATTAGAGTTCAATAGATAGATCTAATGATTATGTTTCTCGAGCTTTGTTTTATACTTTTAGAAGCTCTCCATTGCTTCTGTATATGTGTTGACTTGTGTAACCTAATTATTATTTTCGGCAAAAGTGGCATTTTAATCCAAACAGACCCTGTTTATTAATCCATTTGTTAAATAGGCTAACACCATACAACAACATCCAACAACGTCAGAGTACATTGATAAGAGTGCACTAACCTGTACTGAGATCAGATGGATTGTTTCAGCAGAAGCACCGCAGCTTAATGTGATGATGAGTTGACTTTTAATTGCTTGATAAGCAGTGCATCATAATTGAACACATTGCCAGTTGACAATCTGATCAAACAGCTGAAGATTTCTGTCCTTAGTCTATAAATCTATAAAAAAATATCTCGTTGCAGAGTTAAAATGGAAGCTGCTTCTGATTTCTCATTTTTATTTGACACAACCTGCTCGTGTTGCAGTAAATAATGACTGAGAGGTATCAGACATGGAAATGAAAGCAACTGTCAGACCAATTATGTGTTTTCTCTCATCTACATCCTCTTTTCACTTCCCTTTTTATTTACTGTAAAGAGCTTTATACGTTGGGAAACCACTTTATATGTAACAAATCAGACATGCTGGGATATTATGTCAATATGGGAAGTGAAATTATTTTAGTCCTTTATTCTGATTTAGTAATGATTAACTTTCTTTTTCTTATACAATCTTATAAAAGCCATTTGGTTTTGCTCCTTTACAGATAAAACACGGGCTCTGACACTCAACGTTGTTAATGTAGCACCAACATGCAGCCCATTGTAGAAAGATTAAAACAAAACGGACAGAAAATAGTAGAATTTTGCAAGATTGAGAATTACAATAGTAAAACAATTTATTTGGAAAAATAAATAATTCAGCCAACACAGATAACATTTTTTGAAAGAGCAATAATTAAAAAACGACTTTAACATTACTTCAATTTAAAATGTTAAAAAGCAGGCCTCTTATTTCCTCTTAAATTAAAGAGACAGCTTACCACAATCATACTATACTTCAAACTATTAACAATTGTCTTTAATGTGTATATCTGTAATATGTCCTGCTGTGAATGGTTGTTGCATGACTTTGAAATTCCCCTCAGTGTTCTTGGGCGTCTTTTCTTTAGTATCGCAGCGAGCACACTGAGGTCAGCCGTGGTAAATGACCATTTCAACTCAATTAACTTTTCCCACTAATGCCTTGAAGCAACGTGTATCCTGGGCAACTACACTGTTTACTCTGCACACATTACCTTTAATGAAGAAGGATGAGGAAGGGGCTTTTCGTGTTATTGTGATTTGGAGGCTTTATTAAGGACACACCTGTGTACAGACAGATGGGACAGTCACACAAACACACACTTCCCAGCAGTGTTTGTACTCTGGCAGCGGTGTTGTTTCCTTTGGTCAGTGACTGTTGCTCATACAGCAAGTGGAGCTAAATTGAATAAGGCCATATGAGCTGATGCCACTGTTCTCCTCTGGCATAGCTTGATCAAATCTTGGAAGTTCAATATGGGGGTGCTTAGCAGCTTCTGGCCATAAGCCGAAAGACAACGGCTGGTTTGTTTGTTTTCAGTTCCAGGCTGCATCATCCTTCCTGTTTCTTTGATAAATGTCACTGATTGAAATCCATTAACTCAAATGGGAAATGTGTTTCAGCACTCAAAGCCTTAGTTAAAGAGGTCAAAACAATCTGTATGCTTACTGGAAACATGAGACTGCAATGTGAACTGCTTCTTAGTTATGGAGCTAGGATCAGAGTGCAAG